TCCGGTGACCCTTCCTCAGAACTTTATTTTCTGAAGAAGGGTCTAGACCCGAAACGTCAGCCTTCCTGCTCCTCTGAAGCTGCTTGGCCGGCTGTGTTCATCCAGCTCTACACCTTGTTGTCTCCTATTTGTCTACCTTGGATTCCAGCATCTGCAGTTTTTTTTTATCTCTGACTTTTATCCGAAGTTTACAAAGTTTGTTGACCAAGTTTCCCTGTGCATTGTACGCTGGTTAAATCAGCAGAGGCTTTCCCGTTGGAAATTGGATTCAAATTAAAATCTTTGGACAATATTTCATCCTTCCAATGGTCCCCGCGCGCAGGCTTATTGCTGTGTCCACCTCCGGCCTGACCTTGCCCGCAGGTTTTAAAAGGAACATCGGGCAAATATGAAGTCGCCACCTTTCCACTTTAGACGCAGGAAGGTGTTTGAAACTGTTTTCGAAATTAGTTTCTGAACGAGCACCTTCAGAACCGCCCCTTTTTCGCCAGCCCTCGATCTATACTCCCAGCCAGGGGAAGTGTGGAGTGTAAAAGGGGAACATTGCTACCTGCACGTTGCTCCCCTGGCCACAGACCATTCTGACTTACCCTCAGTCTTTCTGTGATTCCCTCTCTAACAGCACCGTGTGTGTGTACCTACAGCACTAAGACGTCAGCAGTTCAAATAGGCTCACTATCGCCTCCTCCAGGACAATCTGAGATGGGGACTCAGACCCCGCAAATAAACAAATGGGGAAAGTCAACAAATGTTCTTTCTACAGAATTGAAGGCGTTCCATTCTGATTTCGATTGATATTCTGGATACAGTTACCTTTCCCAAAGCAGGACAATTCCTTATCCTGGCCCGTATTAGTCCAACTGGCCTTTGGAGGCACATGGAATATTTTTAAAATTCGAGAATAAAAATGATAGATCATACTGCTCCTGAAAAGTTGGCTCTGAATGAATATGATAATCTGCTATTGTGCAAGGCTACTGTCGTTAGATGCCTTCCCGAAATAATGGTGACTTCATTGTGAGCACAAAATCGCGCTGGCAATTAATTTGAAGCAGGAATGAAGAAGCGATTAAGTGTATAATACAGTATTTCGGTCCAGCACACCGCTTTCTGGTGTGATTGGCCCTGATTCCGGGGCTGGTAATGTGTGGGAAAGTGACGGTGGGTAAAGGAAGTTAAGTGATTGTGATGTTTCTGAAGGTTGTTGCAATATGATGAACACAGTGTGCACGCATCGGCGTTTTCTCTTTTTATATAATCCAGGTCAAATGAACGGACGCGATCTCTTTAAAACAACTGTCCCCGAGACAATGCGGGCTGCCGGAGTCTAAATCCAGTCTCGTTCTAATCCCCCTCATTACTGCAGACGGATAAAGGCCGGGCATGCTGTGAATCTGTGTACCTTGTTATTTTCTGTTCTCAGAGACAGCTACAGGTCCCCCAACTTCAAGCTCTCTCACTCCGCAAATCCACATGACAATAATTTCAGATTGTACAAATTCGTGTGAATGAACTCCCTCATCTGACAACGCTCAGCACCTTATGTGTAGATGAATGAATGTAAAGGAGTGAGGGAGACTGGCCGTATATATTGTGTTGAATTCGATTCGCAATTTAAATACATTGGAAGCAGATGGATATCTAATAAATGCCCTGCCCCTGTACATCCCTGTTTAACAATTTAAGCAATTGGACTCTTTCCATTTGGTATTTTTCAATTAAAGCAGAACAGCACTTTCGCCCTGCATTTGCAATGTCTGATTCAGGACTCGAGGATGTGTCAAGTTGTATTTTCTGGTATTTATTATTTTAAACTAATGTTGTCTAGTTGACTCAGGTGGGAATTGCGGGCGGATCGTTCAGCAACAATGACATGTGGAAGTTGTTTTGGCAGCTCCGTGGGTTTTACAGTACCTGCAAGACAGCTGTGAAACCGAGAGAAACTGACCAGTTTGAGACTGAAGTCTCACAGAGAGCCCTTCCAGTCTACAGAAACCAAAGGAGATCTTTCTGACCTCAGTCTCCCTCCAAGCCCGGATTTCAACAGATCTCCGCATTTAGCAAACAAAAGAATCCAGTATCTCTCCACTGTTCAACTGCCATGAGCTGGGTGAGGCTCAGAATTAGTCTCACAATCTGGGGGTGGGGTAGAAAAGCGTAAAGTTAACAAAAGGAAGAGCTGCATTTATATAGCGCTGTTCAGGAATTCGGAGGATGCAGAGCCAATTTGGTGTTTTTGGGTACTGAACTAACTGTTGTAAGATTAAAAAAAAAACAGAGCAGCCAATTGTACACAGAAAGCGCCCACAAACAGCAATGAGATAAAGGATAGGATAGTATTGTTTGTGATGTTGGTTTAGGGATAAATATGGGCCAGAGCTCTCTGGAGAACTCTCCTGCCTGCCTCCAAAGTGGTGCCAGAATTTTTGTACCCTTGCCTGAAAGGAAGGATGGTGCCTCAATTTAAGGTATCATGCACAGGTAGAATAGCAATTTATTGCCACGTGTGTTTTTACAGAAAAAAAAGTGAAAAGTTACATAAATCCCCATACTACAGTGCCTGTATTAATGAGAAAAGTCATAGCTAAGAAGAAGAAAGTAAAAAATAAGACAGCGTTCATCTCAGATCAATTTCATTTTGGGGTAAGTCGATGAAGATGACAAACACTGGAATACCCAGCAGCTGCCACTGAAGAAAATGTCCACAGTGATGAGACTTCCACACCAGGACAAGACCATCAAACCTGGAGACCACCATGCCAGGCCAGGTACACCCCTCTCAGATGAGGCCACCACAATAGGAGGCACTCATGCCAAGTGAGACCACCATGCCAAGACGGCCACACCAAGCCGAGA